AGATAACTATCAACCAGTGGGTCACCGGTTCCAACCCCACCCCATGTACCGAGGTTTGGGCAGCTAGGTAGTATCACTAGCCTTTACATGATAGGTGCGGCTCATTGCTTGCTGCACAAATGTGCACCATGGTTACTGAGTGGGTATTCATTCAACATTCATAGTCAAATACTGACAAGACACATTAACCATGAACTTTACAAGTAACATCCTATAGAAATAGCTGGTTGTTAAGGCGTAAATGAAATAATATGTAGTCACCATTATGCATTCTTTATCTTGGTGTTGCAAAAGTAGCTTCCTGGTTCGTCATAGTATTCTTTATTATAATTGGAAGTTGTCTACTATGATGATTACATCTGAGTATTTGGCATTTAATAGAAAGTTACATAGATTTTGGTAGCTTTCATCCTTTGTTTGTCTGAAACTGCAGTCAATATTTATTCAATGATCAAAAAACAGCGTACATCAAGGTTTACTTGAGTTCTTTATGCTAAATGCAGTCTAGCTACCTATAATAAACTGCAAACGAAAGTCTAGTGAGGAGAATACTCTGCTGAAAAGTTCACAACTGTATTACTTCAAGAACTGCCTGTAAAAATCTCAGGTGTTTGAGAAGACAGTAAAAACACTAAGTAAAGATAGATGAATAACTATGCATGAAAAAAGCGTGCACGTTCATAAATAGAACATAATCATCAACCTAAATAACAGGTTTAACTAGTGTGGTTCACTCGTATATGAAATCCAAATAATACATGCTTTCACAAAGTGACAGATAGATAAATCGACATTGAATCTCATACAGAAGTGCTTCAGTTCAAGTTATAACACTTCACAGAAGCATGCAAAGGACTAATAGATGAGAAAAGAGTCACATTAAAATAGGAAAAAGTGGATGGAAGCAAAAAGAATAAAAGAAAGGTTAGTTGAGATATTCAAACTTTCGAATATGTCAAAGAGAGAATAAATCTTTGCGACTGTGACCAATCTCCAACCTTGCAACAACAGTCTACAACTACTGATTCCTATGGTCTCGAGAACCGCAACTGGACAGTCTGCACCTTCCTACATTTCGCAGATCAACAGTTAAAGACTTCATGGATTAGCGCCATGTGTTAGTCTGGCTACTCTAAACTTTCTCCTAACCCAATCCTTTTTCGGTCAGTATGATGGGACTATCTTTGATTCTCACACTACCTAGCACTTCCGGCACCTTACACTGAGTAATATCCTATATGTATCCTTAAGAACTTCTGATGAAAAACTGTTAACTGCTGCTTTGCATCGTCTCACCTTTGAAACTTCGACGTGATTTGGAGGACTGACATCTACCTCGCATTCAGGTTCAGGCTGGATACTGGACAACTGGAGCGTGACAACAGACTCGTTTAACAGTGCTTGAAAGTGCTCTTCCCAAAGTTCTAACCCCTTTCCTGAGAGGTTATTAGTTATCCATCCTTTTCGCTGATGGTTTCACCAGGTATCATCTTCTAACTGGTAACTTAAGCAAGCCTAAATAGATGCCGAGTATTGTCTAATGCTGATATTTTCTCCATCTCTTTCGCGTTCATCATCCCCTACCGCTTGTGATATTGTGAAGACTTTTAGTAAATTGACTTCTAAGTTGCTTCCCCTCTTAAATGTGATCGCAGTCAGCTGAAATGAGTTTTCTTGCATCCATCAGTTAGGAGGAGGTTGCAGAAATTCACTGACTTTTATTAATCTGTGGACGTGGGTTCCCAACTGTCGGTACCTCTGTCACTGCAGGAGAAGGACTGATGTCACACGCATATATATATATATATATATATATATATATATATAACTTGGATGTTGTCATCTGCTAGTCAAAAATAAAGTGTAAGGAAGCCTCCACACCAAACTTCTATGCTGTTCTGTGGAGCCGAATAGTTATTACAGGTAGTGCCGGCTAAAAACGTTGACCAGAGACAACAATTAACAGCAGCATAGGGTGAACAACTAAGGTAGTTGGGAAGAGACTAAATGATCATCGAAACTGAACCAACTATTCTTCGTGAGTGAGAGCATTGGACATATTACAGCTTCTTAAGATATACAGGCTTACTTCTCCTTGAAGTGGCAGATATGAGAAATGAATAAACAGCCACTCTCTACATGAGACCTACCTTTACTGCGTAACAGTTGCCTCATTTTATATCAGCATATCAAGAGAGAATTCACCAAGAGGAAAGATGTATAAATAAGTAAAAAAAAAAGTAGTCAAAATTGGCAGAAATTCGTTAAAGAACGAGACGTTATGAAAGACTGATAGAATTCAATATGAAGATAGTGTGGATGCACCTGCCCCAATGCCATCGATTTTGAGTCATACCACCTAGAATCTCAAACTACCGGTTACTAGTGTCACATAGACCCCGAAACGGTAGTCTACACTTCTCCTCACGACGAAGACTGACGACAGAAGACATCAAAAACCAATACTGCGTTCCATTCTAGTCATCTCTAACCATCTTCCAACCTTCCAACCAAGATTTTGCCGTGGAGCAGACGGTGACAAGGCATGCGTAACACATATCCCAGCTACTTCAGTCAGCAGTATTACCCCATAATGACGATTACAACCTAATACAGCGAAATTCCTCTTTTCCCTAAAACTCTACACGTGGCCTCTACATTACTGATGTGGTGACACCGCGATACGGCCTGCACTAAAAAGATAAAGATAGTCGAACGACTGAAGCTTTCTACCATCAATGGCTATGCTTCAGAGACAGTAAATCAGAGCGAACTGCAACCCACTAAGCTCCGTCCTAAACAGGTAGTCGGATACCAAGGAAGCGCCGCAAATAGCGTAAGCTGGTGAAGGGTTGTCTGTTCTCAAGCTTCAATAAGAAGTCCAGTGATTGCAGAACCCAGAACATTAAGCAGAATGATTCATCGGTAGTTATCACACCAGCATTTCTTTAACACTGTGACAATCGGTAACTGAGACCAGTCCGAGAGAGGATTACATCTCATCCTCAAATACAAGCTAACATTTTACTTAATCCACCCAACAATTCTCAAACACCATACTCAAATACCTTTCGTACTAGCTTATCTACTCCTTCCTCATTTCAGGTTACGCCACTTCCAACCTCTGCAAGAGATGAGACCCTATCCCAGTGTTTCAATCACATCACAACTGGATGGCAGACAATGGAATAGTAGCTGGAGACCAGTTGAACTGTTCGTCACAGCGTTCCACCCATTGTTCCGGTCAGCTTCTCAGCCAGGAAATCAAAACACATCCTTATGCTATTTGGTCATGCGAGAGAAACCAATTTCATGTTGTCTAGTCCTGAGTACAGACTGAACCCTATCGATCATATTTGCAATGTGACCACCAAAATAGGAGGCTCAGCATCGCGGTCCACATTAGTAGATGTTAGTTGGTTGGAGGCAATCGGCAGGTAGCCAGGGCTTCCTGAGATATTCGGACCGCGACTGACCTCCTGTAGGACTAGGTCACATTTATTGTTTGGTCATAGGAAAACAACCAATTTCATGCTGTCTAGTTCTGAGTGTAGACCGAATCCTATCGAGCCTATCGTGGCCCGAACAGCTCAGTTTTAAAGTCACTGACTACAACACTGGGTGACACGGGTTCGAATCTCAGGTGGAACATCAGTTCCGTCAACGTTGCAGACACGCCTTGCTGACGAGTGCCAACAATCACGAAACTTAGGTCTACGGCTTTCTGCCAATTGCCTCCAACCAACTGAAAACACACCCTTCTCCGTTATGCCCTCTCCGACCAATGACCGTTTGCCCCTCCCCCTTATCAGGTGAAATAACTGGCTACTGATAACTATGGCGGCTGCCTTTTCTACCTCCTCAACCTTCGCTGCCTACCACTCCCAAAGTCATTGAGTGAGCTTCTTGAGTTCTTCCCGCTCATCATGGAACTCTGAGACTGCACGAGTGTCTTCGCGTCCATCCACCAGCTCACAAGAGACTCCCACGAACTCTCGACATTTCCTTACCTTTTTCTCAGGGTCAAGTACGTTCCTTCATGCTGCTCCTACAGCAGACTACAACTGTCATCATGTGTCTCCAGGATGACGGACGTTCTTCGATTTCGATAACTGTCTAGCCAGTTCATCCTTATTGAAATTAGCCTTAGTATTCCAGTTTTCCATCTGGGCTAGAAACTGTTTCTAGGCTAGGGTTTTGATTCATCCATTTTAGGGTTGCTTAAAACAATGCGTGATCATTGTCAAAACCCGTGCTTCAGAAGAAGCAGCGATCGCCCACAGACCGTCTTCAGTGGAAAATTATAGCGATACGGTAAACCTACATCCACTATTGAGTTGAGGTCGGTAGACGCCTCGTCAGATAGTGTTTGTCTGTAAGTTAAGAGTTCTTAAAGTAAGTTTAATGACGATAGAAACCAGTAGGTGCGATTAGAGTCGACTTTATAGCAACCGCTTCTTCCATGAATGCGGTTTACCTATTCGGTCAAAAGTATGAATCACCTTCGCAGAAACCGAAAAGGGAGTAAATGACTGACACCATGATAGCTTCTTATAACAACACCACTATCCTACTGACATTTGTGACAGGATACCAACAGGAGAGATTGACTCAAGCTAGTATAGCTTCGCCAAGTGATTGCGATGAAAAAAACCGATTTAAGTTTCGAAGTAGCAGGTGTTAGTCTTCAGATGAACTTCACTAGCTACCCAGTTATTGCATAAATGTGCTGCAATCAAGAGCATAACCTCACTGAAGAAAGTAACAGGGGTTAGTTTGCCAGGTTTTCTTCATATTTTTTACTACTAAGAATACCCAAGTATTACGAATGCAAAGTAAAGATTCTAAAGCATGCTAGATCACCAACATTATATTTAACCAACTATAATATAAACTTTAAAAACTGTATGATCGATATGGAGCAGAATTTTTTAAAAAGCCTGTAAAAACTTAACAAAGTTGGCATGCATACCAAACACATATGCAGCCGGTTCACTCACCTCTATGAAGAGTTTCCCATTAAGCAGATTTCTGACACGGTGGGGAAATATGCACGTCCAAAGGTTCGCCAACTCCCCTAGCCTTGAGTGAAATGAATAATGAAAAAAATTACTAACTATGATGGATAAAGCGTGTACACCAGATTGCAGTTCATTCTCTAGTGACTTGAAAACTAGACGTTCTCTCTACGTTGGGGTTTAAAATTATAAATTATCAATACTTTTACGGCAGAAAGAGTGTTAAAATGAGGAGAAACAATTACCACTCTGAAATGTGTTTCCAAACCTAAGAGAAATCCGACTGTATGAGGTTTACGATAATTTTGGTACCTAATTTCCTGCTATGTAGGTGGCTTTCATTATATATTTTCAGAAAAGTTGGCTACAAAACAAGTATAATTCAAGTAAGTTACCTCAAATTTTCGAGATAGCAGAAGGTTAATTCGTGACTCCACAGGTCCAGGTGCCGAAGCCAATGTTCTGCGAATGGCATGTGATGTCCAGGAAAATGTTTTGCAGATTTCAAAATACGAACTTATAACCATCATAAACCTTAATTAGTCAATCAGAGGTGCTGCTTCAGAAATACTGATCGACTATGAGTCAAAGGGAGAATGATGGGATCGACAACTTGAGAAACTAGAATCTACAAAACAAAAACAACAGACTAACCTAAATAACTCCAACAGGGTGTCAAAACTACTTTGAACAGTAACGCACTAACAGGTTATAGCAATATAAAAACAACATAGGAATCCTAGCGCTATATTCACAGAAGCACAAAAGCATGCGGATTATCAACACACTCATCCTTCTGATGTTCCTTTTATCAGAATTTCGCCTTACTGGTCCATAGATGCATTGAGCCTCTTACCACATCCTATTCCACTCTGTCATCGTATGATCTTTAGCTCACCTATCAAAACATTATTCCTTTAATTGATAAACGTTTAGTCTCCGGAAGTAGTCACACTACGATAAGTGGCTAATAACAACCAGAAACGAAAGGGACCCAATTTCAGACACTTAGAATATTACCCTTATTAAACTGGTGATAACTCCAAGATATTGACTTTCACAGTACACCAGATATCTCCCGGATACTCGGCACTTTATTTTTAAATGACACCACAGTAGTGGGCAATAAAGCTCCACGTTTATTATCTTGCAGACAAATAGATCAACGAGAACCTTTTGCCTGCACCTGTTAAGTAACTTAATGTAGTAGACTACGAACCATATATTGTAAGGTTACTACATTACTCCATTTTCTAGAGTAAAATAGGTTAAGAAGGGTTGGCTGTTGATATGTATTGGTTGATACTGAAATGTTTAAGCCAACAGAAAACACGTCCACAGTTCAGTTAAAGATTCAGTAACCCTAGAACACCGGTTGACTTGCCATGCAAAAGTCCAGTAACTGTAAAGTAAACCAAAGCGATTCATCTGCAAACCCTAAGCATGATACAGAGCAATTCAATATAGCACATGGTTGACGCAGTTGCAGAGGTGCAGATAAGTGAACTGAAATCTGCCAACAACTTTTCTTTTCTCAGTGATTCTCGAACAATGGTGAAAAAACAGAATGACGAATCCATGCTTCTAAAAAAATGATCATATTCATGAGGATCGAAGCATATTAGGTGTTTTGCTCTGCAGTTATAAATCTGTCTATTAGCGTACGAGTGCATCTAAACAAACAACTACTAAGTCAGAAAAAAATGAGTTGTTCAGCAACCAATGTTCACAGCGATAAAAACTGGCGTCAGCGCAAAGCTGCATAACTCAAATACCATAGTATTGACAAACTTCTACTATTTTAAGTCGGATTACTTTCAAAAAATCGGTAATATTGCAACGAAACAAAGCATGCACTGACATACAAATTGTAGATTTAAGAGGATTGAAAACATTCTTGTAGTATACACTTCTAATATATGGAACATTAGAAAATCAAACGTGGGGGGAGAGCGAAAACTTTTGTGAATCACTGATACCCATAAGGAATTTGAATTCCTGACAAAAAGGGGGAATATTCGCAATCACCATCCCTTAAACGGAATTAAAGCAGAATCTTAGATTCCTCTTGGCTAATATTCGAGTTAATGTAATAGTCACAGACAAACTGGGTGCCTTAAAAGATTCTCTCAAACGCTAAAACTCGAAACTAATAAGAATTCGGCTTTTACAACAACTGACCTTGATTTACGGTAATTTTTGTAATGCCTGCTAAACGTTATTCTCTAATCCACTTGCACATCTACATTCATTGAGTATGCAACTGACTAATTTTGATACTCAAAGTATTACAGAGAATTTTTGACTGAAGCTGTATTTTGTACTTATCTAAGAGAGAAAGACTATAAATGAATCATGCAACCGTCGGTTCAGTCCAATATCCAATATCCTCTTCACGAGCTTGCATAGACCAGTTGACTTCTTCTTGCTCACTTCATGGTCTTGCGGAACGGTTCCAGGTCTTCGGTGGACCTCGATGCAGTAGATCCAGTCACTCGTCTGCCATAGCTCTGGTATACAAAACAGGAGGTTAAGTGCTGGTTGGTTCGCCTTGGACTGTAGTACAGTTCGCTTCTTCAAATATCGGGTTGCCAGACAGTTGCTCGGACTGGTCGTTACAGAGAGTCAGGGATAGTGAAGAGAAAACTTAAAAGGGAGAGTTTGTGTGAGTAGAGGGAAAAGAAAGGTGAGCTAAGGTAGTAATATACTTACGACCGAGGAAGAGTGCAAACATATGAGGAACTTAGGTAGGTGAGGCTGGCTCATGAAAAGTGGAAGAGATAAAAAGGCTTAAATGGTTGCGGTGGAAAGAAAACTGGCGTAGAGCTGACTGTTGGAATGGCGCGATAGCAGTTGGTTTCTTCTGTTTGGATTGTGTTTCAGCCGCATATGGATAGACCCTTTAGGAATTGTCCTAATGCGAACTTCGCAGACGCAAAGACCAATCACTAATTATTCGGACTTGTTATATACCCACGAATACGATAACAAAGAAGAACACGACAGCGTAGTCGGATGGAATAGTATATTTGGGTGGTCGTGCCAAGATACCGATGCGTTCCAACTAACTGGCTAGGGAGTCGAATACGAGCAGTGCAACGTAAAACGACAGCGTGCTAAAATGGCGAGGATGCCCGACCGGGTGCCCCCAGCTTAGCGAGTCCAGTTAAACTATGACAGTTAGCAACAAAATTGAATCCCGTCAAACCCTAGGCATTGGTCTTGGAGAAGTGTGTGACGCTGCAACACTGGCTCCCTTGCATGACTGTCTAGCTTTTTCTTGAGGCTTTCAGCGGATGGGGCGGAGACTGCCTCCGTTGGTGGTGCAATACAGTGCCCGCAGACTCGGAGGGAGTAGAAGTGAGTTTGTGACCTTTGCTGGGCAATTCTCTATGGGTTTCCACGAGGATCACAATAGCGGCCTCTCGGCAGTATTCCTCCATCCGGGTGATTTGGGTTGTTCAGTACTCTGTGGGCCACTATTAAGTCACCTCATAACCTTCAGTAACTGAGGAAGTATAGTCCTATGTCTTTCATTCTATCCTCATATGGTTTTCGTTACATCCAAATGACCCCTTTTGTGGCTAGCCTCTGAACTTTCTCCATTTGGTTCGTGCCTCTTTTCAGTTGTGGTGGAGCGAAAATATCACGGACTTCCAATTGGGCTAGTGTGTAAGTCTTGAAGAGCTTCGGAAAGAGCTCTATGGTAGGGGCACCTAGTTGTCTGCGCACAGAGCGTGGCACCCCATATGCTTTCGAGACGTAACCTGGGTAATTGGAACCGGTGTACAGCTTCTCCATCACCGTCAAACCCAGGTCTTTTTCTGCCGTGGCATGGGATTGACGTGGGCCACAGAGAAAGTAGGATACTTTCTGGGGATCAATGGTGGGGAAAAACAGGAACCGACACTTATCCCGGGCTTGATGTCAGTCGGTAATTTGTCACCCATTCCTCTTGTGTTTTGGGGTCGTTCTGTAATGCACTTCATTCCGCTTCTCAAGTTGTTCCCCTCCATAGCTAGACGTAATCAGCACAGAGGAATTTCGGAGGGCTGATGTGCAGCGGGAGGCTATTCACGAATAGTGGGAACAAAAATAGATCCGGGATTGCACCTTGCAAGACACTGTACGATGATGTTCCCCAAGCTGCGCCCTCATGATTTTTGTGCAGACAATGCATGCAAAACAACGTTATGAGCTACACACCCCAGACGTATGCAGGCAGAGCCACGACTGAATGTATTGGGAGGTGTCCTTGCGTATCCGGGGGGATTTCGGGCGCCGCCGTAGGGGGATGAACGATCTCAAATCCCTCCTGAGCACTCTTTTCGGCAGTACTGATGTTTGTCTGAATACCTCCACCGTCTTCGTAGATTGCATCCATTAGCTCCGACCCACGTGATAATATTCCAACATTTGCCCGTCTTCTCCGGCTTATCCTCTACTATGCCTTTGTTTTGATCGGGACTTATCCTTAATGATCCTGGGCTGCTGGCGCCACTCTGCAGTCCTGCCATTCTCGACATTCCGTTTGGCTGAGCATAAGTTTGTGCCATGCAGTGGCTGCACGTCCTTTGACTGCCTGCTCGAAACGTTCGCCGGTTGACTCGATTCTTGTGGACAGAACTTTGGTCTAACTTGTAGGGGGTACCCTTTTAGACTCCCAGGTATTTGGGGGTTGTATTCCGTCAATCATTTTTTCGCTATAAAGTACACATCTTGTGTCAGAAAAATCTTCGAACTCTATACTTGCCCAGTGGCACCATCGCGGTACTTTTGTGATTTTGATATAACTCGTTATTGTTTGGTGGTAACGCAGATTGATCACATTACATCGGGTTTCAATAATGTTGTAGTACAATGATTGACTGCATGTGACCCCTACGAGCTTAGTAAACTATACGGGAGGACGCAGCAACGTGCCCGGATCGTGTTAGCTTGGTTATGTTATGCCGTTTTTTGCTTCCCTACCGAAATCTATGGTTTTTGGTCGTTTCACTGGGCGTGAAAAATTTGACTTGCGTTACGATGATCATACAGATAAATAAATATTTTATTCCTAGATTAAGAGCTTAACTGAGACAAGCCGGTTTACAGGCATAAGACATTGATAATGGTAAAGAAATCTCCAGTAGTTGAGCTGTCCTGAAGATACACAAGGTATCGCATCAGGGTTTGTCATGATATCAAAAGTGACTGCTGGTTATATAAAGAAATGAGAAATATCACTTCACAGTTCACACAGGCTGTTTGTGAGTTTCGGTTGTCCCCGTTCACAATCCTCTTTTCACGATAAAGTGATACTCAAATCGTACAACATTCGACGTTTGCGTTATATGTGACCTAGATGGTTAACCTGGCGATATAGTTCCGTGTTTCGACGGATAGACGTTTGTTTTGACGTCAACTAACGTGTTTATAGCATCGTTGGCCAACGAAAACTCACTTCATCGATTTCAGGTAACAGTAAGTGTTAGCACAACCATGTGATCCACGTGAGTATGTAAGTCCTCTCATTTCCCACTCGTGCTGTGACCTTACTCAGCAATACAGATGTAATCCATCAGAATTAGTTGTTTCTGTACAAAAAAATAAACATTTGAAGGACTATTATCCGATGGTGATGGGGTTTTGCGCGTAGAATTCACATTGAAACATACAGTATTATCAAGGAGGTATGTCGACTGTTAATTGTCTTCTATAAAACGGAGTCAAACGAGGTGAAGTACCGGAGAAGTTTGTTTGCCAACATATCTCGCTTTGAGCAACTAGGCGAGTTTATTTCTTAGACTTCGCTGTTTGTCCAGATTTTCGCTGCCATTTTGACCATTCGGAAGCCCCAGATAACTTATTGTAGTTGGGTTCTCGGATATGGTTGCATCCAGGATGCTGATAACTGGGCGAGTTTGCTGTGGAACGTTGCAGAAAGTTGAAAAGCAGTGGGGAAAGACCAGTTGAAGGACTCTTCCAGTGACTTCTGGTATCAAGAATGAAGTAGTATATTCAGTAGGTTTACAATTTCGGTCAAAATTATGCTCAAGATTTTCTCTTTAAACTTAAGCTGAAAGGGGAAGAAGAAATGGAAAGCACGAGCAGAAACCAGATAATGATATACCACACAAGACGACATTGGGAAGAGAGAGGTTCCTTTCTTCTTAGAGACGCTCGGGCTTTATGAATACCTTTATTTATGCATATAAAAATGACTCTTATGATTTTCCTACGTAAACTTCGTGCAAATTATTGGATATACCGTGTTTGTTGGTAGACGCACTGGTAAAACTGACTCTACATCAAGGTGATATATACTTTACCAATGTGTACTTTACTGACTCACAACCTAAGCTAGTGCAACAGCAGTCAAACACCTCGTGCAATAGTGTTGAGGCCCACTAGGGAAAAAGTGCTTGGGATTGGTGATAGCCTTCATTTACACGTTTCGGGGTCCCAGTATGTTTTCACTAGCCCAGAAGGTACACACAGTAACCAAAGGAGTGACAGACTCATCATCTGTAAGGAGCTTATTAAGTAATGAGCGAAAAACAGATAATGAACCTGCAGTACGCATCTCATCAGGAAGTCTATTCCAGATGTGAGAGAGCTTATTGATTGGGAAATCACCTCGCACATCGGTCTTACAACACTCGGTTTTAGCTGATTGTTTGTGGCTACGTAAACAACGACTAGATGCTACGACCATTTTGGCTTCTGAGCCGCTAGAGTGCATTTGCCTACAAAGTGGTTTATAATAAAGTACAAGGTCCGTTCTAGGTCGCCTCTTCCAGGGAGGTTCTTGTCCTAGCATGCTACTTCTGGAGATACAGTCAGCTCCTAGTGTCCTTAATGAGAAGTGGCATTGTACCCCTCCGATTTTTAGTCCGTCGTCTATTCGAAGACTACTTATGACAAGTGAGCAGTATTCTAGAATTTTGTGGATGCGTAGTTTGTGGAGTAGGACACTTGGTTCAGTACTATAAGAGATACGAATGGTGCATCCTAGGAGTCTGGGTGACTTAGTTTTGCTATAAGCTGCCTGCTCAGAGAAATCCAAGTCACTAGATTACCTAGGTCCCCCCCTAAGTTTTCGTAACAGTTATCCTGACACCTCGAATATCAAGTTGAGGTTAGTGTTTCCAATGCAGATCCATCCACTTTTGTTGATGATGAACTATAGAAGGGTATCGGCACTCCAAGAAGTAAGCCTTTCTAGTTCATGTCGAATAGCAGTCAGTGTCGTCTAGTTCATGGGTATAACAAGAGTAAACAACTTTTAGTTCGTCGGCATATAGAAAAGCGTCACGCGTGGCAAAGCAGTTGCACACACCTAATGTAGATGATAAAAAAGAGGCCCGAGAACACTAC